TGGGCACCCGGGCGGGGGCCTGGGGTGGCAGGGCTGAGTGGGCCTCTCACCCCGCCCCAGGCAGCCAGGTGCAGGCCGTGGAGTGCCGCAGCCAGCTGGACAGCACGACTGTGGCCCCCCACCACTGCAGTGCCCACAGCAAGCTGCCCAAGAGACAGCGCGCCTGCAACACAGAGCCCTGCCCACCAGAGTGAGTGCCTGCGTGTTGGTGGGTGGGGTCACACAGGGTTGGGGGAGAGTGCTCCTGGGGGTGGGCAGCAGGTCTCCGCTGAGTCAGGGTGACAGTACCCCTGGAGTTGGGGTGATACTGCTCCTGAGTGCTCCCAAGGTGGGAGAGCCTGTTTTTGTGGGGAATCAGGGTTATAGCACTTCCATAATTGGGGCAAGAGTTAGAACGATAGTGCTCCCTAGGCAAGCTAACCATCCAGGTCATCCTCTCCCCTTAGGGTAATGTACCTACCCGCCCCCAATCTAGGTGAGGGTGCAGGGTAAGGATGCTCCAAATGGAGGCAGCTCTCTTAGGGTCAGTCGCAATGCTCCCTCTTGGGGCAACAGTCCTCCCGGTGTGGGTTTCCATAAGGATGCTGGGGGTACGGGTATGATGGTGCCCCGGGGTCAGGGTGCGGCAGCTCCGGAGTCAGAGCCCCTGCATACCCTCTGTGACCCCGTGACCCATCCCGACCCCTCACCCCCTGCAGCTGGGTTGTAGGGAATTGGTCACGCTGCAGCCGAAGCTGTGATGCTGGGGTGCGCAGCCGCTCTGTCACGTGCCAGCGCCGCGTGTCAGCTGTGGAGGAGAAGACACTGGACGACAGCGCATGCCCACAGCCGCGCCCACCCGTGCTCGAGGCCTGCCAGGGCCCCACTTGCCCGCCCGAGTGGGCCGCCCTTGACTGGTCTGAGGTCAGCCACCCCTTCCCCTGGGGCCCTGCCCACACCCTGTGCATAGAGGGCAGGGGCTGGGGTGCCCATGGCTCCATAGGCGCGAGCCCTTCCCACCAGCCCCAGTGTTGACCTTCAACTAGTCCAAGTTTGCCGCCCCCACCCTGCCTCCCCCTGTGCACTTGGGGTGACTGGGGTGCCCACTAAGGTGCCCGCGTATCCACTCCCTGCCCACTCCCAGCGCGCGTTGTGATGGGAGTGCCCTCTGAGGCATGAAACGCCCCCTCCAACTGCAGTGCACCCCCAGCTGTGGGCCTGGCCTCCGCCACCGTGTGGTCCTTTGCAAAAGTGCTGATCACCGTGCCACGCTGCCCCCTGCGCACTGCCCGCCAGCAGCCAAGCCGCCGGCCACCATGCGCTGCAACTTACGCCGCTGCCCGCCGGCCCGCTGGGTGGCGGGCGAGTGGGGCGAGGTAGGCGGGCATGCCCAGAGTGGGGGGGGGGTAGCGGGGGACTGGGCAGCGGCTCAGTGGCAACTTCCGGCAGTGCTCCGCGCAGTGCGGCTTCGGGCAGCAACAGCGCGCCGTGCGCTGCACCAGCCACATGGGCCAGCCGTCGCGAGAGTGCACCGAGTCGCTGAGGCCGCCCGCCACTCAGCAGTGTGAGACCAAGTGTGAGAGCGTGCCTGCCGGGGATGGCCCCGAAGGTACATGCGCAGAGGATGGGGGTGGGGGTACCAAGATGGGCCCTGTCTAGAAGCAAAGAAACCACAAAAGGACTTCACAGGGACTTGATTAGTGACTTGTAAATTCTCAAGCTATGAAAAGGTTTTTTCCTGTCTCTGCCAAGCCATCTATCCCCATCCTGTCCCCCACAGACATTCATTAAGTGCTACGGTGTGCCATATGAAGGAACCCTGGTGGTGCAGTGGTTAAGCGCTGGCTGCTAACAGAAAGATCAGTGGTTGGAACCCACCAGCCGCTCCACAGGAGAAAGCTGTGGCAGTCTGCTTCCGCCAAGATTTATAGCCTTGGAAACCCTATGGGGTAGTTCTATTCTGACTTACAGGGTTGCTTGCTGAGTCAGAATGGACTTAACCGCAGTGAGAGAGTGTGCCATACAAGGTCCCTCGGTGACCGAAAAGGTCACAGCCATGAAAACTCTATGCAACAGTTCTACTCTGTACACGTGGGGTCGCCATGAGTCGGAATCGACTTGACGGCAACAGATTTTGGTGGGTTTTTTTTTTTTTTTTTTGGTACATGGTACACCAAAAAGCAGCTCCTTCCTGATGATATAGATACTATTAAAAGCTCCCTTTGACAGTTGAAGGAGTCCCTGAGTGGTGCAAATGGTTAACGCACTTGATTGCTAACCAAAAGGTTCGAGGTTTGAGTCCACCCAGTGGAGTCTCAGAAGAAAGGCCTGGTGATCTTCCAGACAATCAGCCATTGAAAACCCTGTGGAATACAGTTCTACTCTGACACACATGGGATCACTGAGTTAGATTCAACTGGAAGGCAACTGCTTTTGGTTTGACGGTTGAGGAAACCATGGCAGAGAGAGGCAAAGTCATGCACTAGGAAGCACTGTGCAGGCACGGAGGAGGGGCACGGAGATCTGATTCCTCTCTTCTTCCACAACCAGAGTGCAAGGATGTGAACAAGGTCGCCTACTGCCCCCTCGTGCTCAAATTCCAGTTCTGCAGCCGAGCCTACTTCCGCCAGATGTGTTGTAAAACCTGCCAGGGCCGCTAGGGGGCACCCGGAACCACAGCTGGGCGCCGGCTTGGGGGCAGACGGTGCCCAGGCCTGCCCTTGGCCCGCCGAGGGCGCAGAGCAGGCAGAAGCTGGGAGTGAAGGGTGGGGTGGAGCCTGAAGTTATTTATTGGGAACCCCTGCAGGGCCCTTGACTAGGGGATGGGGAGGGGCTGGCCACTTCCAGGGCCCCTCCTCAGCCCCTCTCCCAGTTCACATGGTAAGACCCCCTCCAGGGTGGGATGGGGGGGAACTGTTCTCCCCAAGACTCTTTTACCCACCCCTAGGGAGCCCCCAACACTCTCCCCTTTTGATGGGAATATGTACTGTGAAGAGTGGGGGTGGGGAGGGGGTCTACTGGTGCCCTGCCCCCCCAGCACTGCCCCTTCCCTTCCACTCTGAGCTGGGGGGAGGGGACTTAGCACCACCTCCCTGACACCTTCCCCCTGACCAGACCAACTATAGGGGTGGCGAAGAGCTGGGAAGATCCACCCCAATCTCAGCCCTGCCTGTCCCAGGGGGACCCTGACACCCAGCTGCCCCCCAACATGGTGCTACAGGCCCTGCCCTGGGGCCCACAAACCCTCACCAGGAAGCCCCCCATCAATAAAGTTCTGTCTTGTGTAGATTTCCGCGTGGGGTGAGTGTGTCCGTGCATCAGGGTCACATCCAGCCCCATCGCCCCAGCCTCTCACAGGTGGGCCCCGTACCAGAAGTGGGCTTTTACCAACAGACAAGAAAAATGACAGCTTATCACGGAAGCTCTCAAAGCCACCCAGTCTGGCGCTGGCCACCCCGACCCACCACACTCCGGTCACTCGAAGCTCCAGTCACTCCAGGCTCAGTGAAGTTCCTCAGTCTCACCCTTCTTCCCACCTCTGGGTCTTTGCTCCAGCCACTTCCCCCGCCAGAAACACTCTCCCCTCCACCTCCTTACCTGGTAACTCCAACTCACCCTGGAGGCAACGTTGCCTCCTCCCAGAAGCCTGCTCTGACCCCCAACAAGGTGGGGTCCGCCTTAGCACCGGGCGGCATCGCTGAGGTCCTCTGCCCAAGCCTTGGTCAGCTCAGCAACCGCCTGGAGACTCAGGGCGGGACGGTCTTCCATCTATGGCCACTAGGGGGCGCCTCCTCTCGACACCCTCGAGGCAGGATGCTGGTGTGCAGTCCGCAAGCCTGGACATAACGCGCGTCCCTGCCAGGCTCTCCCTGGGCCGGGTTCTGCCTCAGCCACCTCCTGGCACATGGCATGCGGAGAGGACAACCTCCTGGGGGGCTGGTCTCCTGGGGATCAGGATAGGGGCCAACACTTAACAGAGCCCACTGGGGGCCATATCCAATGTACAATGAGAAATAGAGGTTCCGGGAGACCAGGGCACCCAGGAAGTAGCAGAGCTAGGAGTTAAACCCAGAGCTGACATTCAAAGGCTGGGATCTTTCAGGTACACCTGGCTCCTGGTGCCTGCCACTCCCCCACCCCTTTCCCCAGCCCAGGGCTGGACTGCCCAGTGAGCAAGGTCCGCTCAGGCCCAGTTGTGCCTTCCCGCCAATCTGCAGTGCCCAATCGCACCTGTCCCCCACCAAGTCAAAGATGTGGTGAAACCCGTGTGAAACTGCACACCATAGATTGGCAAGTAAATACAGTTAAGCGTTACTTGCCCAGTGCAAGCCGGTGCTTACTAGTTAATCCACCCGTCTGTCCCCCTGTCCCCCCACCTCCCTGCCCCAGACACATGCCAGCAAAGCAGCTCTGGAAGATAGTTTGCCAGAGGTGTCCAGAGCAAGGAGTCCGTAGGTGGCGCAAATGGTTAAGCACTCGAAAGGCTGGCGGTTCAAGTGCACCCAGAGGCACTTTGGAAGAAAGGCCTGGTGATCTGCTTCCAAAAGGTCACAGCCTTGAAAACCTATGGAGCCCGGTTCCGTACTGACACACACACAAGGGGTCGCTGTAAGTCAAGGTCACCTCGAAGGCAACTGGTTTGTTTTTTGCCCAGAGCAGACACACATCTGAAATGATGCTTCCCTCCCCTGCCCCCGGGTTTGGAGGGATCTGAGCAACCCAAATGCTTCCCCAGACTGCCCTGAAAAGAGCTCCCAGTCCTGCAGCCAGCTGACCTGAGTGCTCCTTGCTGCAGCCATGCCCACAAGCAATTGAGGAAGGGGCCTCCTGGGATCTGGCAGTGGCTGTCATCAGTCCTCGGTCTCTCTCTTCAGAGCCAGAGCCCTAAGCAGCCAGTTCCCCCCAGCCCCACCGCCACTGCACCCCCGCTGTGTCCCCGCCTCCAGCTTCCCTCTTCCGTGGCCGCAGCCCCTCCCGTTGAAGGAAGTGAGAGGGGGGCTGTTGTAAGAGGAACTAGGGCCCGGAGTTGGGTGAAGGAGCTGAAGCAGGGCCATGCCCCAGCCACCCCCCATGGCCCCCTGAGCCTGCACCCCAGCCAGGACCTACTTGGTTGTCCCCCAGGGGTCCAGACGCCAGCCTCGCCATGGTGAGTCCTTCAGGTGCGGGCCCTGGAAATGCAGGGGTGGGGGACACCAGCCCTGGAGACACAGTCAGAAAGTGAGGCCATGGGAGCGGCACAGCTGACCCTTGAGGGTCCCTTTTCCAGCCCTCAGTGCAGCTCAGGCGTCCCTGGCATCCCTCGTCAAGCTCCCATCCAATGGTGGCTAGGATGCCAGAGCAGTGACAGGGACCAGGGATGGAGTAGTACCTGGAAGGAAGAAGAGTCCACAGTCCTGAAGGACCACAGCATCTGCAGGGACGAGGATATACCCTGTTCCTAGGGGCTAGGGGGGCCAGTTTCCAGCCTGACGTGGCCCCTCATCTCTCCTGGGGCCTTGGGCAAGTCACTTCCCCTCTTGGGACCTCGGTTCCCGCATCTGTCATATTTGGAAGTCGGTCAAGGGGTAGAAGGTGCTCTCTGAGGCCTCACAGTTGGAGCGTTCGGAGGGTCTGTGGGTTTGGCCACAGGTGGGAAGGCAAGCCGTCAGATGGGTGTGGGGCGGCAATGTCATGACAGGACGGTGTGGCTGGAGCAGCCACAGAGGCAGAAGACAGCGAGACTGAGTGTGTCTGCACACACCGCAGGCCACTGTCCCTGGGAGGATGGCGGCAGTGACACGGTGGTCAGCAGCATCACTGCCTGGAGAAGCTGAGGTCTGATGATGATGGTGACAGTGTTGGGGAGACTCACAGTCATGGGTCCAGACCTAGCAGCATCCGTAATGCACACAGTGACAAGGAGTTTGGGCTGGCTGTGAGTCTCCCCTACCGTGCTCTGCAGATCACTTCAGCTTTCATTTTGTGTCACCTTGTCAATGAGAATGAGTGTGTGGCGGGGACAGCAACGGAGCTGATGGTGACAACTGCAGGGCTCCTGGCAATTGCAGCAGGTGGCTGACTGGGGTGAAGGTAGGGAGGTGGAGCAAACGGGGAGGCAGTTGTGTTAGTTAGAGAGAGACCAAAAAAAAAAAAAAAACCACTGCCATCGAGTCGATCCCAACTCGTGATGACCCTATGTGTGATACAGAGTAAAACCGCTCCGCAGGCTGTAATCTTTATGCAGGCAGACCGACAGTTCTTTCTTCTGAGGCACTGCTAGGTGGGTTCGGATCGCCAACCTTTAGCAAGCTGTCTTGGTCATCTAGTGCTGCTCTAACAGAAATACCACAAGTGGATGGCTTTAACAAAGGGAAATTTATTTTCTCACAGTCTAATAGACTAGAAGTCCAAATACAGGGCGCCAGCTCCAGGGGAAGGCCTTCTCTCTCTGTCGGCTCTGGAGGAAGGTCCTTCTCATCAATCTTCCCCTGGACTGGGAGCTTCTCCGCACAGGGACCCCGGGTCCAAAGGATGCGCTTTCTTGGTGGTATGAGGTGCCCCGTCTCTCTAGTCACTTCTCTCTTTTATATCTCAAGAGATTGCCTCAAGACACAATCCAATCTTGTAGATTGAGACCTGCCTCACTAACACAACTGCCGCCCATCCTCCCTCATTAACACGATAAAGGCAGGATTTACAACACATGGGAAAATCACAGTCATGGCCCAGCCAAACTGATACACACATTTTTGGGGGGACATAATTCAATCCATGACAGAAGCCAATGATAAATTGGGCACCACTGGCCAAGGAGCCCTCGGGGTCCTTCAGGACCAAACCATCAGCTCTCTGGGCTCCAACTTGGATCCTCCAAGAGGATCCAAAGATGAGATGGGCAGACTTTGGCTAAAAGGACACAGGAGACGCTTCGCTGCTTCAGACAAGAGCAGCACCTCTTAAGGAAGCTGTGCAAAATGCTGAGTCAACAGTTCACTTGGCAGATACGGGCTGGGAGGAGAGGAACTCGCAAAAGCCGACAGCAGAGAAAACAAGTTCAACCCATCAAGGAGCAGAGTGCAAGGTGTCTGGGAGGCCACTACCCCTGTCTAGGGGTGCCAGAATCTTCCTTGGGGGTGGGAAGTGTCAAAGAGAATGTTGGGGTAGCCAACAAAATGTTCATTAAGTCCTTCATGCAGCGTATAATAAGCCCTCAATACGCAGAAGCTATCACTTTGGATGGAGGTGGCACAAAGTCCCTAGGTGGTGCAAATAGTTTTCGCTTGACTACTAACCTAAAGTTTGGCCGTTCAAACCCACCCAGTGGCACCACAGAAGAAAGGCCTGGCAATCTGCTTCCATCAAGATTACAGCCAGTTCTATTCTGTAACACATGGGGTTGCCATGCGTCAGAATTGACTCCATGGCAGTGGGTTTGGTTATTTTGGTTATCGGTGGCTCAGTGGTAGAATTCTCGCCTCCTCTGTGGGCGGCCCAGGTTCAATTCCCAGCCAGTACACCTCCTGAGAAGCCACCACCCATCTGTCAGTGGAGGCTTGCATGTTGCTAGGATGCTGAACAGGTTTCAGCGGAGCTTCCAGACTAAGACAGACTAGGAAGAAAGGCCTGGCCATCAACGTCCAAAACTTGGCCAAAGAAAACCCTATGGAGCACAAGAGCCTGATCAAATCATGGGGATGACGCAGGACTGGGGAGCATTTTGTTCCATTGTGCGTGGGGTCACCACGAGTCGGGGCCTGATTCCACGACAGCTGACAACATTGTTGATGGTGGTGGTTATTGTTGATGGTGGTTGGTCCTTCTGGCCATGTTGCTGGTGGGGGTCATGATGGGTGATGATAGTGGTGGCAATGGTAGGGAAGACACTGGCCGTTGTTTCAGTCTGATGGTGGCTGGGGGCCATTCGCTGTTCCTGTTTGACTTCGGTGGGAGGTAGTAGCAGATGCAGCAGTTACTTGTCGTTGGCGGTGGTGGTGGTGGTGGTGCCGGGATGGTAACAGTGGTTGTTTTTCGGGTTCAGACATAAAACAGGAAGGCCAATGGGGTGGCTGCTTGGTCCAGGGGTGGAGAAAAAAGGCTGGGATCAAGAGAGATTTGGGGGGAAGAATCCATAAGACCTGCAATTGACCGGAAGTGGAGGCAGCAGAGGGCATGCGGTGGGGGGCACGCAGGTTTCTGAGTTAAGGGCTGGGGCCCCTCCCCAGAGGGTCTTCCCCATTGAGCAGGGAGGGGTGAGGCCACAGGCTGAGGGCAGGGTTCTGCCTCTGTATGGGCAAGTTTGAGGACCAAGTGACCGACCCCCAGCAGCCTCCAGCAGCTACACCAAGGGCCCAGCTCCGTAAAGACAAGGGTCCCCACATATTGGGTAATGGGCTCCTGCTACACAGAGAGGAATCTGAGGCCCCCACCCCCCGGTAGGGGAGACCCTAGGAGTGTTTGGAGGTGAGGTTTGCACAGTGCAGGGATGTGGGGCATGGCCCCAGAACCCCACTGCCCTGGGGCAGGGCAGGACTAGGGCTCCAGGGCACCCCCAGGGGACAGGAGCTGGGGCAGCAGCAGCCTCAGCAGAAGCATCACACATCCTCCAACAACCACAGCGCCCTCGGCTGCCAGGGCCCGGGGGAAGGAAGTGGCTGTTCTGTCGCTCTCTCCCGTCTCACTGCCCAGGAATGGGGAGGCCAGAGCAGTTGGGGTGAATTGCAAAAGCTCCCTCAGCCAGCCCTTCCTCCTGCCCCTGAGCCCTGTGCCCGCAGGACTAGTGGGCTTACGGCTGCTGCTGCTATTGCTGACCGTGGTGGTGAGGAGGGCCGACGCTGACACTTGGCTTTGCCACGCTGAGTCTTCACAGCAGCCCCGTGAGGTCCCTGGCCCTCCAAAAAAAAAAAAAAAAATTGCGATCAAGTTGATTCTGACTCACGGCGACCTCGTGTGTGCAGAGTAGAATTGCTCTATAGGGTTTTCAAAGCTGCCACCTTTCAGAAGCAGATTGCCAGCCTTTCTTCTGAGGTGTCACTGGGTGGATTCGAACTGCCAGGCTTTCAGTTAGCAGCTAAGCACCTTAACCATTTGCAGCACCCAGGGACTCCTCCCTAGCCTTCTGTATTCCCATCTTTCAGATGAGGAAACTGAGGCAGGGCAGTTAGGGGAGTTGCCACACAGCCTGAAAGTGGCAGAGTGTTTGGACTCAGTGACTCCAGAGGTCACACTGCTGTCACCCTAACCACCACCTGCCCCTCCTCCTCAAGGTGAGAAGCTGACCCCCACACGCCCTGGGCTGCCCAGCCCCACTGCCACTTTCAGGGCCCTAAGTGACCCCTGCCCACTCACCCTGCCACATTTGGACTCTCCATTCCAAGGAACCCAGAATCCTGGCTCCCCACACCCACCCAAGGCCTTCCTGGTCTAGGACTCCTGCGTGGGAGCTTCATGTTGCAAGGCCCACCTCCTGCAGGAGGCCCTCTCTGATTCACCTACTTCTCCTTAGCATCCTCCAGCAGGGACCCAGCTCTCAGGGTACACTGAACTCCCCAAGAGCAGGGTCTAGACCTGGTCTACCTCTTTACCTCTCCCCACCCTCCCCCATGCACAGTCAGGGCTCAGGAAGTGCCCTTGGTACCAGGGAAGCCCTGCCTCCCACGCCCTCCACCCTGGGGTGGGGGACCTCTCTGAGGAGCTGAAGGAAGAGGCTACCTCCTTCCTCCCACCCCAGCCACCTCGAGCCCCTGACTATCTTTCACAAGAGCCCCAGCCGGTTGAGTCACACTTGGCTTGTGGTCAACTGTGACCACAGCCTCTTGGTTGTACCCCCACCCCCAAGGAAGAGACTTAGGAACAAACAATTTCAACTTGACCCGTGGAGACTTGGGGCCACAGAGGGATGCCTGTGAGACAGGGCAGGGGGTGTCTCACCCCAGTGTACTTCATTCACTCATTCAACAAGTGTGTATAGTCCAGGCCCCGTGTCAGAGTCTGGTCACTTCAGTTAAACTCAGGATCACCAGCTACCATTTCCTGAGTTACCTTGGTTCCCCTTTCCCTGATTGGCTCATTGCATGTTCTCAACAACCCCATGTTGTTTTTGCTGTTGTGTTAGTTGCCATCAAGTCAGCCCCCGATTCATGGCAACCCCATGCACGATGGAACCAAACA